TACCCCCCTCAATACAATTCCCCTCACACGCCTACCAAGCACACACCAAGAGAGAACAATACAGTGCCAATGACATTTGAAAACCTAGCACACAAGGCAGGATGGGAAAAAATCCCACCAGGAAGTACTCACTCCATTTCCTCTTTTACTAGCAACCATGCTGCATGCTTCAGACATGGACCGAGAAAAAACAGAAAAATGAAAGAGAAAGGGGGGAGGGCAGAGGAGAGGGGAGAGAGAGAGAGAGAGAAGTGGTAAATTAAATGGCTTCATAACCTTCTCATCTAACTAGCTGAGAAAACCCAGACCAAGAATCGGCTACTTTCACAGGAATCAAAGCCACACAGGATACACAACATCAGACGTGGCCAATTCTCCCCCACCAATTCAAAAAGCCAAGCTTCAGATCAGCCTAGCCCAATTTGCCCTCCCTCTCACTCACCCCTTGCCCAATTGCTACTGGCCATGTATTGCTGGATGCCACACACGGTGTATTTCCTAACAGGCAAAAACAAGGTAAGTATTTTTTAAACCACCCCTTCCCCTGCCCCCTTTCCTTTTCAACAAAGGCCATACTCAGAGCACAAACAAAAGCACAAGCAAATACTCACCTCCCTTACAGATAACTGTGGGGGGAAAGAGACTGAAAACACAAAGCTGGTAAACTGGTATTCAGAAGAATTAATCTTGTGGCACACCTGAAAAACAATGAACTATGTTTATTATTGTTATTTAAATATAAATACACACACACACACACACTGCTATGCAATTTAAAAAGTTCTCAAAGCAATTGTACCTTGTACAAAATGGCTTGCAAACATGTTTGAATAAAATTGTTTTACATTCTCATCAAGGACAAGCTTCCCTATGTAGATGTGCTTGCTTCTACCAGAGGAATTCTTCTGTGTAGTCTGGACAGCTCACTAACAGTCCCACTGCCTGAATGCTTACTTGGAAGTTAAGTCCCACTGTGTTCGTTGGGGCTAGCTCCCAAGTAAGCATGTGTACAATTGCAGCCTAAATGAGATTTCAGCAAGGAAAGTTCAGGAAAACCCTTACAGGTATACAACTAAGTTTTAATCACAGTAGACCCATTGAAATGAATGAGCACAACTAAGTTAGGTTCATCTATTTCAATGGGTCAACTCTGAGTAAAACTTAGCTGAATGCCACCCACTACATGCATGCTGTATACATGTACATCCATGGGAAATGCTGCAGTTTTTTTCAACAGTAAAACTACCAACCAGCTGACACTTACCGCTTTGACAAAATCCATCTCACAGAGCTCTTGCAGAATTCCCAGGCAGATGCTGCACACAGCTGGCCTTAAGTTCTCATCACCACCAGCAGTTCTATCATTCTCCGCATTAGGTACCTGGTGGCTTCCATTTGAGGTCTGTTCCTCCCCTTCTTTGACACTATCCAGTTTGATTCGCTTATGGGGAGGATTTGCTGTTTCACAAGGTAATTTGTTCTCCTCTGTAGTGTTCTCCAGAAACTCATGCACTTCACTAAGCAACTCCTGATTGATAAAGGAAGCAGAGTAAAACTCGGTAGGTAGAAGGGTGCCAGGGGTGGCTTCATCATGTACTGTGAGCCCGACAGCCAAGTGTCCTGAAATCAACAGCTCCTGTAAATGCGCAACAGTCCTTCAACAGAGAATAATGTCAAATAATCTGTTGCCTTGCAAATTAAAGTGGATCTGCTAAGCAATTAAAAAGGTCTTTGATATTGCAGTCCTGTGCATATTTAGGTAGGGGTTAGACTCACTGAACTTTGTGGGACTTAGTTTTGAGTAAATGTTTATAGGATTCGTATCCTATGCACACTGGTATCATAAATGTTTTGAGTAAATGTGCTTAAAATTTTAAATATGGATGTTATATAATGACCTACACTTGAAACACCTAATAGGGGTTTGGTGAGGAAGAAGAGGAGGAGTAAATGTGCACAGGATAGTATCATAAAAGTGACACCAGAAGTAAGAAGAGGAAGTGCACTTGTTCTTAGGAACATAGGAAACTGCCTTATAATGAGAAGTCAATGGTCTATCTAGCTCAGTACTGTCTATGCGGAGTGGCAGTGGCTTTCCAGGGTTTCAGACAGGGGACATTTCCAGTCCTAACTGGAGATGCTGGGGACTGAACCTTGGACCTACTGTATGCAAGGCAGATGGTCTACCACTGTGTCATAGTCCTTCCTCAGAGCTGCAGGTCTTTCCTATACTTCTTAGACAGATAATGGGGAAGATTGTGGACTGGACTTCTGGGTAGGTGGAAGACACAGGGGAACTGGAGAAAGTATATGATGGAGGGAAAGAAGACAACAATGGATTTTAAATAGGTCGACAGCTGTTTGTTGTTCCTCATTATATTTTGGGGTTCTGCAATTTTTGTCTCCCCACTCCAAATGCCCCAGCCTCCTTTCATTCCCCAAGAATATGCCTCTTGCTTTGAAAGAAAGACCTGGATCAGAGAGATCTGAAAATGAATTAAAACCACCCCATCATTTTCATAATGTACTTCGATTTAAGCAAACCTTATAGGGTCGCCTGTACAAATCCTGAGATCCTATCCGGCAAAACCTGAAAATACAACGCGGGCATGCTCCAAAATTCAGTAACTTCTGAGCAATAGACTTGTCCTTTTCAGACAGTGCAGTCGTGCTGGTGCTCATGCTGGTGAAGCCTGTATTTGAAGAGAAAAACCATCAGCAGAAACACTACCGCAGCAGGCTGGAGAGTGAGAATTGAGGGAACACTCATTAAAAGAGCACAGCAGTAATTCCAAAGGGAGGACACAGAGATGCTGAGGACCATTCAGAAAAGAACAATAATGAGCATGGTCCCATGTATGAAATCATTTCTGATTACTAGAAACCAAAGAACTAAATCTGGGCCACTGCCAGTATGAATTGCCTTATACTGAGACTATTGGTGTATTTAGCTCAGTACAGTGGTACCTCGGGTTACATATGCTTCAGGTTACATACGCTTCAGGTTACAGACTCTGCTAACCCAGAAAAATTACCTCGGGTTAAGAACTTTGCTTCAGGATGAGAACAGAAATCGTGTAGCGGCGGCGCAGCAGCAGCAGGAGGCCCCATTAGCTAAATTGGTGCTTCAGGTTAAGAACAGTTTCAGGTTAAGAACAGACCTCCAGAACGAATTAAGTTCTTAACCCGAGGTACCACTGTACTGTCTATGCTAAATGGCACCTTCTCCCCAGAGTGTCAAGCAAGGGGTATTCCCAGCCCTGCCTGGAAATCCCATTGAGGACCGAGACGGCAAAGCAGCTGTTCTACCATTGAGCTGTGGCCCTTCCCTTATTCCTGCACTGAAGAATACCACTCCCGTCTCCTCTTTCCACTTCCACCGCCACTGGAGTTTCCGCTACTTAGGCCGTCATCACTATCCGGTATCACAAGCCATACTATTCTGACGCTTAAATTCTACGATGAAAACCACATTTACCTAAGAGCAAGCCTCGACTTGCTTTCGAGTAAACATGAGCATAGGGTTGCGCACTACCTCTATCAGATCTTGCTAAAAGCAACTCACTGCGCCCAAATAGCTTAAAGAACCCCCCACCCCTCCAATCCTAAGAAGCCGAGGTTATTTTCCAGCTCACCTGCCTCTTTTCGCTTGCCAAATATAAAAAAAAAAAAACTACGGGGGAACCATTCACCCGTTGCACCCTCGGTCCGCTCATCAATGAGTTCCGCTCTCGTAGCGAGAGAAAGGGGGAGAGAAAAGGAAACAGCATCCCAGAAACAAGAGTTCCGCCTCCAAGTTGCGGCGGCCTCCCGACGAGCCCATAGAGTTACAAGCCTCTAAGGCTTTCCGATCTATACTTCCGGATCCCAACAGCCGTTCCGTCGTGAGCGACCATGCTTTGGAAAACATCCTGTTGCCCATAACCCGCAATAAAAACGAAACAAAGCAACTATAGGCTTCGTTGGAAGACCCTGTTCCATGTTGGCTGAGCTCCAGAACTCAGGCGTCGCACCCCATTAAATGGCAATAGCTAACAGTGTGAATAAACTTTGAATAATGAAAAAGATAAAAAAACGGGGCATTTGATGTGCGGTGGAAGAAAAGCGTTAAAAACACACACATTAAAATCTGGTAAAAACATCGGGAAAACGCAGGGCCGGATTTAGGTTTGATGAGGCCCTCTAAGTTACTGAAGGTAATGGGGCCCTTGATATTATGTCCAGCTGTCCTTTGTCAACAATAAATTGTCGTTTTTTGTGTTGAATATATGCTATATGGTAATTTATGGACCTAATAGGTGTCTAAAGCCATTTGCACATAACAAAATACGCATTTTATCAAAGTAATTGTTGAAGAAGTTAAGAAGTATATTAATAGTGAAATACATTTAAGAAGTATATTACTAGTGAAATAATTATTAAGCTGTAACTTAAAATTCATAACAAACTTACTGAACTCGAAGCATGGGAACCCCCAACAAAAATTTAAAATTTGGCAAAATATTTGGACTTTATGATACGTATTTGGAATAACTAATGTGATATGATTGGATTGTTAAATGGAAAATTTAATAAAAAATTATTAAAAATAAAATAAAATTCATAACAAACTTAATAATGCAAACGCAAAAGTTAACTCTTTAGAAACACAGTTTACAAAGACTCATAATCTAGTCTCTAGAAACTTGCTATACCATTGTTAATGAAATAATAATTTTAGGTTTTATTTTATTTGTGGTTTTTTTATCTTACATTTTGGAAATGTACATCCCGGTGTTTTCTCCCCTTTAATTTTTTTGGGGGGGTCCCCAAGAGAGTGGGGTCCTAAACTATAACTTGCTTAGCTTATACGTAAATCCGGCCCTGGGAAAAACGTGCAAAATATGTTTTCCTTTGTAGCCGAGCGGGGGCGATTGCGTTCCTTTGCTTTCGCCCGGCTTCCTTCCGCGCGCACCTCTTTGAGCTCGAGCCGCCACGCCGACGCCGCAGCCAGAGCCGGTCGATCCCCGAGCTCCGCGCGTCGCCTGCGAGGGGCGGGGCCTCCTCCCCGGCGGGACCGACGGCTCGGCGCTCGCCTCGGGAGACGGCCGAGCCTAGGCGAAGGTCCGGCGAAGACGATGGCGGCCAACCAACCGCCGCCCCCGAAGCCCTGGGAGAACCGGAGGCTGTGAGTGCGGCTGGGGGCGCTGGGGGGGCAGAGAGGCGGGAGAGCCCCGAGGCGGAGCCGCCGCCATTCCCTCCTCATCGGTTATGGCTGTTAATAGGTTCCGGGGCTCACTTGCCCCCGGGAGTGGGGGGGGGAGGCACTCTGTACATGCTCAGGGGCCACGCTCCTCCAAGGTCCTAAGGGTGGGGGAGGAGGGAACACAAAACAAACAGGTTCCGGGGCTCACTTGCCGCCCCGAGGAGTGGGGGGGGGAGGCACTCTGTACATGCTCAGGGGCTACGCTCCTCCAAGGTCGTGGAATGGCCAAGGGTGGGGGAGGAGAGAACACAAAACAAACAGGTACCAGGTCTCCAGGGAATCATACCCCCCCTTCTTCCCTTAGCCCCCTAACGGGTTTCATCCTTTCATCCCCTTTCAGTGTTGGGTGGGGATAAGGGGTTTCTTTTCCACCCCACCAACACGGGATTCCTACATTGCAGGGGGTTGGACCAGAGCTGTCAACCTTCCCTTTTTTTGCGGGAAATTCCTTTATTTCAGCGCCATTTCCCCGCTGCTATCCTGGATTGTTAGATATCCCGTAGACAGGTGAGGCTGCTAATCCCTTATTTTCAAATCCAAAAGTTGACAGATATGCTGCTGATCCCTTATTTTCGAGGCCGCTGATCCCTTATTTTCAAATTGGAAAGCTGACAGCTATGGGTTGGACTAGATGACCGCCAGGGTCCCTTCCAACTCTGTTGTTGTTGTTTAGTCGTTTAGTTGTGTCCGACTCTTCATGACCCCACAGACCACAGCACACCAGTCACTCCTGTCTTCCACTGCCTCCCGCAGTTTGGTCAAACTCATGTTGGTAGCTTCAAGAACACTATCCAACCATCTTGTCCTCTGTTGTCCCCTTCTCCTTGTGCCCTCCATCTTTCCCAACATCAGAATCTTTTCCAGGGAGTCTTCTCTTCTCATGAGGTGGCCAAATATTGGAGCCTCAGCTTCACGATCTGTCCTTCCAGTGAGCACTCAGGGCTGATTTCCTTCAGAATGGAGAGGTTTGATCACGGGTAGGCTAAGGCCCAGGGGCCGGATCTGGCCCAATCGGCTTCTAAATCCGACCCACGGATAGTCCCGGCATCAGTGTGTTTTTACATGAGTAGAATGTGTCCTTTTACAGTGGTACCTCTGGATGTGAATGGGATCCGTTCTGGAGCCCCGTTCGCATCCAGAAGCGAATGCAACTCACGTCTGCGTGCGTGGGTCGCAATTCACTGCTTCTGCACATGCGCATGACGTCATTTTGAATGTCTGCGCATGCGCGAGCAGCGAAACCCGGGAGTAACACGTTCTGTTACTTCCGGGTTGCTGCAGAGCATAACCTGAAAACGCTCAACCTGAAACATATTCAACCCGAGGTATGACTGTATTTAAAATGCATCTGGGTTATTTGTGGGACCTGCCTGGTGTTGTTACATGAGTAGAATGTGTGCTTTTATTTAAAATGCATCTGGTTTATTTGGGGGCCTGCCTGGTGTTTTTACATGAGTAGAATGTGTCCTTTTATTTAAAATGCATCTCTGGGTTATTTGTGGGGCATAGGAATTGGTTCATTCCCCCCCCCTTCAAAATATAGTCTGGCCCCCCACAAGGTCTGAGGGACAGTGGACTGGCCCCCTGCTGAAAAAAAGTTTGCTGACCCCATGGTTTGATCTTCTTGCAGTCCATGGGACTCTCAAGAGTCTCCTCCAGCACCATAATTCAAAAGCATCAATTCTTCGGTGATCCTTCCAACACTACGATTCTATTATTTCTCTTCCTCCCCCCTTCCATGGGGAAATATCACCCCCTCCCCCCATCTGATATGCCACTTTTCATTCAAATGAAATAAAGAATAACAACACGATAGAACATCACAAATGCAGTATAAATAGTGTAGAATAATTAACATCATCAGTGAGACAATTGCAGCCTATAAAACACTGCTAACGACATCTTAAAAACAGGCTGAACGTCACAACTGAAGCAAAAGTCGTGTTATAAGGTTAATAAATCAATGTAGCATTTATTATCTGTAAAACAATTTTAACAACAACAAAATTGCAGCCCAAAAATAAGCTAAGCACTGTTCTGTTCATAAGGGGTGTCTTCAGCAAACTGGCCCCCTTTTCTTTTTTCTCACACATTTGGGGGGCAAGGAAGAGCAACAAGGAAGAGCAACAAGCCTCTTTCTCCTCCCCTTAATGGGGAAACATCCTCTCCCCACCCCATAAAGGGGTGTATTCAGCCTTTCCCTTCTTGCTCCCACGCAATGCCCCACTTACTAAGGGAACAGGAGGTGGCTCGAGAGTTCTCCATCTTCAAGGGGGAGGCAGATTCCCCCACCTCGCACCTCTTTCATACATAATTGCTTTATAAACTGGGAAGGAGGACTGTTTCCTCTTCTTCCCCAGCCGGGCTCATCAAAGGGCCAGTGTCCTGCATAGGCACCCACAATAATATAGACACACAAAAATAGGGAAGGCATTGTTCTCTGGTGCTGTCAGCGACATTAATGACATGAAGGGGCTTGGGGAAAGGTCGCGCGCTTGTTTGTCATTGCTGTTATTTTTGAAAGGTTTCACTTTATGCTGTTTTGGGGTGCCACCCAATGTTTTAGGAGCTATATGAATAATGGTTGTTATTATGATGATGCTTGCATTCAGTTTCTGCTATCCTCACCTTGGACTCTGAATCGTGCACGCATTTTACAAGAGAGAGAGAAGTGGGAGAGTGTGTGTTTGGACAAATGTTGGGATATGCGAGTTAAAGCTCCATACAGATTACCCCTTTGGAGCTTTGAATTCTTCAAATCCTTTTCGAAAATCTTAGGACTCAGGGCTAGGATGTATCCTATAAACTGGAATTGAAGAGTAAAAGGATAGTGCGTTTTGCAATGTGGTATTGTCCCACATCATACCCCTTTTATTATTTTGATTTTTCTTTTTTCATAGAATCTTAGAGTTGGAAGGGATTGCAAGGGTCATCTAGTCCAACCCCCTGCAATGCAGGATTCTCCGCTAAAGCATCCATGACAGATGGCCATCCAACCTCTGTTTAAAAACCTCCAAAGAAGGAGAGTCCACCACCTCTCGTAGGAGTCTGTTCCCCTGCCAAACAGCTCTTACTGTCAGAAGCTTTTCCGAATGTTTAGTCAGAATCTCCTTGCTTGCAACTTAAAGCCATTGATTCAAGTCCTACCCTACAGAGCAAAAACAAGCATGCTCCCTCCTTCATGTGACAGCCCCTCTGATATTTGAAGATGGCTATCCTATCTCCTCTCAGTCTCCTCTTTTCCAGGCAAAACATACCCAGCTCCTTCAAGCACCCCTCATAAGGCTTAGTTTCCAGGTCCTTGGTCATCCTGGTTGCCCTCCTCTGCACACCTTCTAACTTGTCACCATCCTTCTTAAATTGTGCTGCCCAGAACTGGACACCGTATTCCAAGTGTGGTCTCACTAAGGCAGAATAGAATGGTACTATTACTTCCCTTGATCTGGACACCATACTTTTGTTGATGCAGCCTAAAATAGCATTAGCTTTTTTTTCCCCCTTGCTTCATCACACTGTTGACTCATGTTAACCTTGAGGTCCACCCAGGTCCCTAGATCCTTTTCACAGGTACACACCACAAGACCTTGGTGTTACTGATAGCCTTGAATTTTGCTCCACCATCTGCATGCTCAGGATGGTCTACCTCCTTGTGGAAATTTTCTCAGTGAATCAGCAGCAAGTTGTTGCTTGTGTTCTGCTGCAATTTAGTGTGGGTCTGACATGCTTCCCCACCTCCCTCCCCTTTCCCAACAAAATGGGTGTGTTGGCACAGGAGTTCCAAAGTGGTTAGCATTACTCCCGGCAGATTAGGGTTGCATAACATACCCACATATGTTGTGGTCCTGCCTACACGTAGGAGGAAGCTAAACGCAGTAGGACTTGACTTCTGGGTAAGTGCATACATTTGATCCGGAAAGATATTTTCTAGCAGCATTACGAGATCTCAGGAGCCATGTAGAAGTAAACACAAGTCACATTGGGACTTCCTGTAGGCTTTTACTGCTTGATATGCAGAAGCAGCTTCCTCATGATCATTTTGTAAAATAGGAAGTGGGTGCTGATTGGCTAGCGCATTGGGTGTCAAAACAGCTACTGAAGGAAGGTCCCTGGAGTTCCAGACACCTGAAATAAAGCAAGAATGCTGTTGGGACTGTAAAGTTAATAACTATCCTGTGATGTAGTTAATCATTCCAGATTTGCAAATAGCTGTCTTCCCGCTGTGTCCGCTAGCAAGGAAACCTAAAGCTCTTTTAGGCTGTGTATCACTGACACATGTCTGGGCAGTCTGGCTAGTTGTGAGCAAGGAAATGTTGTGGACCTATTTACAGGGTGGTAAAGGTAAAGGTGGGACGTGGGTGGCGCTGTGGGTTAAACCACAGAGCCTAGGACTTGCCGATCAGAAGGTCGGCGGTTCGAATCCCTGTGATGGGGTGAGCTCCTGTTGCTCGGTCCCTGCTCCTGCCAACCTAGCAGTTCGAAAGCACGTCAAAGTGCAAGTAGATAAATAGGTACCGCTCTGGTGGGAAGGTAAACAGCATTTCCGTGTGCTGCTCTGGTTTGCCAGAAGTGGCTTAGTCATGCTGGCCACATGACCCGGAAGCTGTACGCCGGCTCTCTCAGCCAATAAAGCGAGATGAGCGCCGCAACCCCAGAGTTGGTCACAACTGGACCTAATGGTCAGGGGTCCCTTTACCTTTACTATCACTAACATAGTATGTCTGGGCAGTCTGGCTAGTTGTGAGCAAGAAAATGTCATGGACCTATTTAGAGGGTGGTAAAGGTAAAGGTACCCCTCACTGCTAGGTCCAGTCGCGGACGACTCTGGGGTTGCGCGCTCATCTCGCTCTATAGGCCGAGGGAGCAGGAATACAGCTTCTGTGTCATGTGGCCAGTATGACTAAGCCGCTTCTGGCGAACCAGAG